AATCCCCAATTAAATACCAAATTAGAAATTCTCAAAACCAAAGGAAAGATTAATACAATTGAAATCAAGAAACCACTGAACTAATAAATAGAATTAAGTGCTGGTTTTATGAAAAAGCAACAGAATAGGTAAACCTTTGAGTAATTTGGTTAAACAAAGAAAGAAGAAAAGTAAGTTACTAGTATCAAAAATAAAAAGAGTGAATTCACCACCAATGAAGAGTCAATTAAAACAATGATTAGGAGCTATTTTGATCAACTATATGCAAATAAATCTGACAATCCAAGTGAAATGAATGAATATTTACAACAATGCAAATTGCCCAAATTCATAGAAGAGGAAATAAAATACCTAATAACCCAATTTCAGAAAAAGAAATTGAAAAGGCCATCAATCAAAAAGCCCTAACAAAAAGTCTCCCAGGCCAGATGGATTTATAAGGGAATTCCACCAAACATTTAAAGGACAATTAATTCAATACTATATAAACTATCTGGAAAAACAGGAAAAGAAGGAATCCTACCAAATTCTTTTTATGATATAAATATGGTTCTACCTAAACCAGAAAGACCCAAAATGGAGAAAGAAAATTATAGGCCTATTTCCCTAATGAATATAAATGCAAAAATTTTAAATAAAATATTTGCTAAGAGTTTACAGCAACTTATCACTAGGACATGGCAGTATTTATACCAGGAATGCAGGGCTGGTTAAATATTTGGAAAATTATCAGCAGAATTAACCATATCAGTAACAAAATTAACAGAAATCATATCATTATCCCAATACATGCAGAAAAAGCTTTTGACAAAATACAGCACCCACTGCTATTAAAAACACTACAGAGAATAGAAATAAGTGGGATTTTTCTTAAAATGAGAAGTAGCATCTATCTATCACCATCAGCAAGCATTATAAATAATGGGGATACGCTAGAAGTTTTTCTACTAAGATCAGAGGTAAAAGAAAGATGTCCATTGTCACCACTGTTATTCAAGATTTTACTAGAAATGTTAGCTTTAGCTACAGAGAAGAAAAAGAAATCAAGAGAATAGAATAGGCAATGAAGAAACAAGCTATCATTCTTTGAGTTAATGTCATGTTATACTTAGAGAATCCTAGAGAATCAACAAAAAACTACTTGAAATAGATAACTTTACTGAAGTTGCAGCATATAAAATAAACCCACATAAATCATTAGCATTTTAAATTACTAACAAAGCTCTGTAGCAAGAGATAGAGAAAATGTGTATTTATCTGATTCCCTCTAATTTGACAGCAATCCCTGATGGCAATGATTGCTGAGTACAGAACTTGAAGCTAGAAGGGTTTCAAACATATTCTACTCTGTATTCCTCATTTTACAGATGAACACAAATCAGATGAAAGGGAGATGTATTCATATCCACAAATGCAATAGTAAATTTTAGTTTGAATTCAGATCCTTAGATTTTATTCCATTCGTATCCCTAGACACATTAGACAATTAATAAGTATTTGTTGAATTGAATTGAGTTGAAATCACTGCACATTTTCTAACTGTTGATCCTCATGATATCATTACTCAGTACCCATTTCTTTAAAATGTCAACATTCTATTGGCATAGCAGTGCAGCCATTTAATAAGATACAGGATACTTCTATGGACTGGTCTTGGATTTGCATTTTTCTATTTTACCTGGTTTGGTAAAAGTGCTGGACTTCTTTATCTTCTAGAGAAATCACAGTTCTGTCATGTACTTCTACTTACAAGTCTTTGTATCATTTGTAAGACTGCTTTGGAAAAAGGTAGGACACATATAGCCATTGTAATCACAGCTGGGTGATCTAATCTCCAAGCAGCTTCTTCTTTTATAGTTCTTATAGATAGTCATTTACACACAACACATACACACATACACATACATATGTATCTGTATGTATATTGTAAGTATATATACATTTATATATGCACGTATATTTTAATAAATATATGTGTGTGTACACACACACATATAAATAACACATACCCCTCTCTCTCTGTCTCTCATATATATATATATATATATATATATATATATATATATATATGTATGTTGTGTATGTATGTATATGTATGTATGTATATATCCACAATTAATTGTAGCATTCTGTGGTGGGGAGTAGGGAGGAAGGGGAAAAAAGAACAAAGTGAAAAGTGTACAGCAGAGAAGCAAAGAAAACTTACAAGAAAGCAAAGAGAAGATGGACAGATCTCAACACAATGTGTAGTATTTATTACATACACTTTCTTGAAATGGAAATTTATTGCTGTGTATTTTGAATCCTCTCTCATATTCTTCTGTGCACATCACAATGCTTGTTTTCTTCTTATTTTGTCTTATTTTAGTTTTAGTATTTAAATTTGTTTCTTTTTTCTTTAAGTTTAATTTTCAAAAAGTATTACAAATGAATAAAAACAAAGAAACAGTCACACTGCTGTGTTTTAGACATTCTACTTCAAAGGCTTCAAAAACAGTTCACTTAATGTTTGGTGCCCATTTTGTAGCACTAGTTTTGGAACGGGAGTAGAACCTGTCATGTAGGACAACTGAGTTATATTGGGACTTTTCTGATGTATTCAACATATTTCAGCATACATGATACTCCACATATGTTTTTTTTTTCTCAGAAGCCAAATCAGTGAAAGTCTCCTTAAGAAAAATTTGTCCTTAGAGTACAAAAGCTTCATCAAATGGGAACACAGAAGAAATAAAAAGAGTGTCCTCAAAGAATATATAACATGTATAGGGTCAGACCAAGCACTGTCAGATTAGGAAGGTCCTTACGTGATATGTAACACTGGGCAAAAATTATTACAATTGAGCCTCAGTTTACTCAGCCAAAAATGAGAAGTAATAATTTCTTCCCTCTCTATCTAACAGCAGTATGATCAAGATCAAGATAGACAAGATGACAATACCTTTGAAGGAATTTTGTGGACAGCAAAAGATTAAGCAATAGAACAGAATTATTAAGTCATCAATATTTGAGGGACAGGCACCAGAAGATCCCAAATTTCCCAATGTATTACCCCACTCTTGCCCTTCACTGACTGCATAGTGCTAGAATCATCTCTTTGGATTCATCTTGTAAATTCCTTTGGCTGAGAACAGTATTACATTAATAGTCATTAGGATAATAGAATAAATTAGTTTAGCATTGCTCTAGCATATAGTAGGGATGTGTTAGAAGCTGTGGGCCTGAACAAGGCTTTGAGTAAAGGGTGAAAGAGAGATGATTTGGAGAGGGTAGCACAAAGTGGGGTGTGGCATTGAGGACTGAGGGCATTCTGGGACACTCCATGGAGAATCCTTAAAAGGAAAGTAAAGGACACCAAAAACATGTATTGCTTAATTACAGCACCAATTTCCTAAGGATACCTTTCCTGTTTAATCCACCCTTTTGCCCTCCTCAAGGTCAGTCCCATCAAAGGAACACAAATTTAAATTCTTCACCATTTTACCTTAATCAAGATAGCCACAGCGAGGAACACTCAGAGCAAACAGTCTATCTTGAAACTATCCTAAAGAGGCCAGCAAGAAGTCCTCTCCAGAGTTATAATGCAATGCCCCAGTCGGAACCATCCTATACTGAATTATACATGGGTGCTGACAAGGAGGTAAAGTTTGTCTTCAAGAACCATCTTCCTTTTACTCCTTTCCCCCATATACATTTCTTTGTCACCTTCCTTCCTTTTGAAGGTGATGCCCAGTGGCTCTCTACCACCCCACGGATTGTCATTAAGCTTCTCACCCAAGTCTTCCGTCCTAGACAAAATATCAGTTAAGACTATGTTCTCCCCAATTTAGATTATACATTTCTCTCTTCTCATCCAGCAAATTTTGCATGACTGGCAAGATTTTGTTAACAGGAACGGATTAATTCGAAGCAAATACGTAAATGACTGGTATTATTTCTTTCAGATATCATTTGTTTTAGCTGTAGAGGCCTACCCTCATGCAATAGGTACCATCTGTTCTGGTCAGACGTTGTGAGGGTCCTTCCACTGCATCTGGGGCCACTTCCAGAGGTCCTGACCTTTGGCTTGCCCAGGACCCTGATGATTCTGAAGCAGAGAGTCGGGCTGACGACTTTTCATGACTCTTTCTCCTTAAATACAATGCATTTGCAAGTCAAGACATCACCTTCCTAATGTCACTGGTCTTATTGGAGAATGAAGCATGAACAATCAGTACCTACAACCCAATTGTATGGATTCATAAAATAATTTCATAGATACGATTCATGTATGATATTGTATATGAGAAGCTAGGCGGCACAGTATATATGTAAATATGGATACAGTATATTTATTTATCTATATGCACCTATGTGTGAATAAACACAAGTTACTGCAACAGTTACAATGTAAATACTGTGTTTTCATCATCTTCTTAGATAGCAAGCCCACCTTCTTGACTCCAAGCTAGCCAGGTCGCACAGTCCACCAGGGGCAGGTCCTAGGAGACCTTGCTAAACAGTGAGAAAGAGACTACAGTGGAACCTCTTTGAAGACATTGCTGTCAACTCCACCTGGACCTTGAGGTGTCCTCCCCATTTACATATATATTGTCTCCTCACAGAACCAGCTGCATCACCAGAAGATCTATTTCAACCTTCTGCTACCTCTGGCATTGCAGACCACTTTTCAAGCCAATCTGATTCAGGAAAGTCTGCTGCTAAACAAAGGAAAGGCCTATATGACACTGTGATATCAACAATCAGGCATCCATTTTCTCACACATCTAAGAAAAACAGTCTAGTGGTGAGTCAGGTACTCTGATAGTTTTTCTACCTGCTTTCCACACCCTTACAAGATATAACATTGTGCAACAGTTGTCTGCAAACTTGCTTGGGCTTTTAGCCCATGTTATCATTGAAAAAGAAAACAATTCTGTTGGATCCATCTCCCCACAACTAATGAGGCTGTGTGTTACACAACTACTTTTCTTCACACTTACTAGTAAAAGTCACTAGAATTAAGATTCTTTGAATCCTTGCCCCAATGTAATCCTTGGCTTCATTGCTACCAACTCTGAAGATGAGTTAATTAATTGTGCCCTTACTTAGGGAATGGCCTGGGTCACAGGACCCCCACCCTCCTCCCTGAAACTGACCAGGGCTCAGGACTGATTCACCAGCCCCTGAGCTTTGGGTGGGCTGCCTGCCCAGATGTCAGGGATCATTGTTGGGTTGTCTTTGGACAACTCCTCCTCATCTGTCCTTTTGTTTGGCGTTCAGAGGTGACCAGTGCACTGTTCCTGAGCTTTTTTTGGGTTCTTCTTGACAGAGATACTGGGTGGAGAGTAGTTTGCCATGCCCTTCTACATCTTACACATGAGGAAACTGAGGCAAACAGTTGTATCTGAGGCTGGATTTCAACTCAGGGAGATGAGTCTTCATGAGCCCAGGCCCAGCTCTGTCCACTGAGCAATCTAGCCTGGCTGCCCCTTGTTCTTCCTATTCTGACATCGAACCTGGGGTGGGGACAGCCCACTACCACCTTGTCACTCGAGGTGGCTTGGTGAGTATTACATTTCTGCACAAAGGACATTGGAGGGCTTCGGGGGGGGTTCCAGTGTGAATCTTTGTAGAACTGTTTGTAGATTGTTTCTTGTGAAGTGATGGGCAAAATTAATTTTTTTTCAGGCTTAATTCGAGTGGGGAAAATGAATACTTTTGGATATATTATTATTATAAAAAAATCAGGTGTTGATGGTTTCTGGTATCCACTAAAAAAACTACTTGTTATTTTGGAACGTGGGAGCTAAAAATCCGTGTTCTTACTTTGGTGACTAAGGACATGTCAGCAAAACAGGAATGTTGCTGAGGGGCCAGCACTTAGCTTTGCCCCTTCTTTGAAATCTCCTTTTTTATTTCTGCTTTGTTCTTTTTTACTTTATTCTCTGTCCCCTACCCCCATGGTTGATCCTCTCTCACATTGTAAAGTTTTGACTTTAAAAATCTTGACAAAACTGTATACTTTTTTTAAACTGGGAAATTAAGCCGAAACTTTATCTGCTTTGTTGGAAATGTGTCAAACATACACTGGTGTTGGCAAAGACTGAAACATTTGATGCTTTTTCTAAGCCTTACTATAATATCCCTAAAGGAAATTAAAAGTGTTTGCATGTGTTCATTAAAATCATGTCCTACATCTTGAATATGTGCAACTGCCCAGCTTTAACTAAGCAACCCTGCCCTTTATTCAATTGAATTCAAGGCCCAGAGAACTCTTGTCTGGTGACAGGAGACCAGAGCACCTGCTTGTCAGAATCCTTCTGCCATGTGGGAGAGAGGAAGCCCTTCACTGTTTTTAGTGGAATTTAGTTGGATCAAAATTAGGTCCACTTTCAACTAAGGTGATACAATTCTGCATGCAGCCCCCCTGGCTTTGGAAAAGACAGCCTAGGGCACCCACGAAGCAATAGGAGTGTGCTTTCTAGTTGGCTGGGATTTAAAATCAAGAGTAATCATTTTTTTGCTAACTCATCCTTTATTCACATAATACCACCATGGTTGCTTTTGCTTTTAAGATCGATCAAACTAAGATAATTTCCTGATGTAAGGGAGAAATTTTGCTGCTCAGGAAAGTACTTTGTTTGCCACGTGACGACTGGTGGTGGCAATAGCAAACTGTGACTTTTTTAAACTCCTTACAAAAGCATATATTTGGTCCATTGACAGAACTTTGATGATAGCTAACATTTTTATATTACCTATTAGAAATCAGGCACCGTGCAAGATATCTTGCTTGACAGATGTATCATTTATGCCCATTTTATAATTGAGGAAATTCGGAGGCAGAGACAGAAGGGTTAAAGTGACTTAGTGTTTTGAGTCTCTATTAAACTTGAAGGGTCTTCTTGGCTAACACTTAGAGAACCCTAATTCCTAAATCACATTGATGAGATAATTTTGAAAGTATTAGAGAAAGAATTTGAACCAATGTCTTTCTTTGACACTGATAGTGATGACAGTAACTTTCTAGTAATCCCTTTGGATACTTTGTAACCAATTTTATAACATTATAACACATTAGCTTAGATACACACATACCCCTCTGCCAAGTTTGATTAAAGAAAGGGAAGAAACTGGGTTCCCTAAATAAAGGCACTCTGTGGCCTCAACTTTTCCTAGGTAACTCTGGGGGAGGACACCCCTTTAGTAGGGTTTACTGAGTGTGCCAATATAGTAGTTTTTTTTTTTTGGTGTCGTGTACTAAGTCCCTTGTTTGCCTTAGATATCAGCAGTTTCTTAGCCAACATTTTTACAGCTTTTCAAAAAAACAACAAAAACTCTAATCCTGCTTAACTGACGAGTCCATTCTCAAGATAACAGGGAGTGAGTGTTAAGGAGGCAGAATTCTAATTTCCTGGAATGAAAATGAGAGTTGTTTCTCCCAAATTTTAACTGCTTCTGCTTTGAAAGCTGGCTTTGGGGTGCCCAATAACATCCAGCACAGAACCTGGCACATAGTAGGCAACAGGCATTTAATAAATAAATGTTGATCATTTACATACTACTCCCATAAAAGAATGAACAGCTTTTTCATTTTTTTTCTTTTTAGGCAATTGGGGTTAAGTGACTTGCCCAGGGGCACACAGCTAGTATGTGTCAAGTGTTTGGTCTGAGGCCAGATTTGAACTCAGGTTCTCCTGACTTCAGGGCTGGTGCTCCATCCACTGTGCCACCTGGCTGCCCCAGCTTTTTCATTTGGAAAAGATATTTTCATTCTGCCATTTAGTGGGAAGCAGTATCAATAGTAATGTCAAAACTTGTGTCAAAATTAGCTTTTTGTCCCTGAAATTCTTGTAAGTAAAACATTCTTGCAAATTTGAATTAAGGGATACTGAATGCCATATCAAGCTTCAGCTTCCAGGAGTACCCAAACAGCAGTGCAAGATTGAATTTAATCTACAACTTAAGGAGGCAAGTATGGTTTGACCTGAGTTTCATTTTGCTTCTTATATATATTTCAGTTTTATTTACTAAAATTGTCTCATTTTTAGGCCATACTGACTAATTTAAATTCTCAATTCCAAGTCAGTGAAATGGATCTACGTTTTGTCATCCCACAAAGCTTCAACACAGAGATTTAATTACCATAATTCACTGTTTGTTTCACTAGGTGAAATTGGCAAGATCTTTCTTTCTCCCTCTCCCTATGTATTCATATCTTTCTGTTGTATTCAGTGTGTAGAGTTAAAGTACATTAAACAAACATGTATACACACACACACACACACACTTTTTTTTAAAGATGTTACTGAGAATAATGAATCATGTTCAAAAAGGAGGAGAGTTTCTTTTGGAGCCCCTCTGAGACCCGAATTATTTGATCAAATTTACCTCCCAATACACCTCTTGCAAAAGGAGAAAGCCCAGAGATGAGCAAAACAGCATCCACAACCTGGGTCCCGAGACAGTCAATGATGAAGGTACAATATTTTAGAGAAGCATTTAATCTGTCTGTAGTTTAAATTATGCATTTCTCTATGATCCATACCCTAACTGCATTTTTAAGAACTAGTGGTATATATTATCCTATCTTCAGAAATGATTTGCTATTGAATATCTTTTTAAATGGAGAGTGCAGTTATTTGTTGTTATGTTGGCTTCTCATACACTAGTGACTCAAGGTACTCCAGCCTGTAAGGGGAGCATCAGGTCTTCATACAGAAGATGCTTGAACATGCTTGAGTGCCCTGAGTTTCTCTAGGTCTGCTATGGTTATTGCAGTGTTTTAAAAAAAGCTGAGACATAAAATCTCATTTAACATTTGCCATCATACATAGGATGTGATGCACAAAATAAGCAAAACCTTTCTTTGCCCATTATACACTCTCCTTGATCAGACCCTAAACTTGCAAGATCTCAGAGCATCAAAGGGAGGTGACGTACATTGCAGGGCCCTCAGACTCTAAACATGTTCAGCTTCTGCTTTGTGCTGCTGCTATTCGTTTTATACTTAGGGGGCAAGTAAGATAGTCCCTATTTCCTAGGGTCATTGGGAAAAGAGAAAGTTCTTTGCTACCCTGACAAGTGCTCCTAGGTAAATAAATGAATCCTTTGCCAAGCAACACTCCCAAAGGCATGCCCCTGTAGTTATGGTTGCTGCCACTGGGTGCTGGTAGACAGTGAACCTGCAGCACTGAGCTCTAGTAGTGATGGAAAACTCCCTTCATGCTTTTCAAGCTGATGGCAGGGGTCCCATCTACAGCAAACCAGTGAACTTGCCAGCATTCCTAACAAGTGGCCAGACAGGCTTTGTTTGAGGACCTCGTCTACCTCCAGTTGCCTTGGAGAAGCAATCCTTCCAACTCTGGGGTAGCATAGCTCTCATTGCTAGGAAGCAAGGCCTAAACTAATGTGCTCAGGGCCAATGGTGGCTGGCATCGTTGTTTTAAAGAGACATATGTGTTGCTATATCCGTCTGACTGCTACCTGGCAGCAGGGGGAGACTTTTGTCCCCAAAAGTCATTGAGCCTCGAGGGGTGCCTTTGCAGAGACAGTCTCTGTAGGATTAGCGCTCAAAGGGTTGTTGTCAGACTCAAATGAAATGTCTGTCACAGGCTTTTGATGCACCTTGGCCATATTCAGTTCTTTATTAGGGAACCATAGCACATCTTGTCATTTATAAACTGTATAAAAATGTCCACTGCAGCAGACGCATTCTAAACCACCAGAAAAAGAGGCTTCCCACAGTCTAGTGGAAGGGATACCGTGTACAAAAGACCCACCCCAACAGTTACCAGCCATTCCTAATCTTAAAAAGAAGTCTGCACCTAGCAGGGATAATAGTGCCTTCTCAAAATTACTGCACAAGAGAACAACATCTATTCCCAAAATCCAGACCATCCAGCCCCACAAGACCCTGAGCACACCATCGGTCTGGAGGAGATCCTCCTCTGCAACAAGAAGCCAGGCGTTTGATACGCTACAGATGAGTCACGCCAAGAGCGGAGCACCAAAAGACAATCTCATGGGTATTTGAGCAGGGAATCATTTTCCGATGGTTTTTACAGGCAGGGGGCAGGCAGTCCCCTGGCTTCAAAGAGCTTAAGACATCAGTCTACCAACACAGGGAATGGACGTAGGAGGAACAGTAAGAGAGACAGTATATGGCTGGATCTGACGGTGCAGAGCTCTGTGCGGGGTCGAGGTAAAAGATGTAAATAAAACAAGGCTAGAAAAGTTAGTAATCTCATGGGAGTGATAGAAAGCTGCTTTTGGAGTTTGTCAATAACAGGAAGGAGTTGAGACATGATGGGTAAGACTTGTGTGCTGGGGTTAGCAAAAATCACTTTGGCAACTACTGTAGGAAAGAGAAAAGGAGGGAAAACAGGAATTCGGCACTTGTTACAAATCAGTTTGCAGTGAGAGTGGTGGGGGCAGCTTTTAGATAGAGTACCTGGTGGTATTTGTGAGTCAAGAGAAAAGAGGAGTTGACGTGATAGATGTGGAAAGAAGAGATAAATGGCAACATTTGGCTGGATGTATCCAGCAAGAAAGTGGGGGAGAGAATGCCTTGAAGTTAGTTGGGTGACTAGAAATAGACAAGATATCAGTGTTTAGGGAGGTTTGGTTTTTTCTTTGTTAATTGTTTTATCCAAAAATGTTCATTTATCTTCTGTTTGAATGAATTTTATTTGTATTAATTGTTGGTTACTTTTCTTAACAGTTGTACTCTCTTGGGCAGATGTGGTGAGATTAGGTACCAAAAAAACCACAAGCACACGTTGTTATAAAACATGGTCTTGAGAGAAGGATAACAAAAAAGCAGAGGAGATTAACCCCAAGGTCAAGGTACATTACAGAAATGTGGAGATCATTTTTATATGTGTATGTGCATGTTACACATATACATAATACATGTGTCTATATACATATATATCATCATGTGTATTACACATTTACATCTGTGTACTTGAATGTCATCTCAGCAAACATTAAGAAATACTAAATTTATTTTTGGAAATATTTCTTTTTCCTTTACAGAAGAAGCCTGCAAACCACTCACAGAATCACTTTAGCAAACTCTCCCCGCACCCTAGTGATTGGGAGAGCTCATATTGAAAAAGTGACTGTGCCTGTGTGGCCCTGTAGGATGCTGAACAACTTTGTTTTCAACCCTAAGATGGATATGAATGAGGATTTCGCAGGTGAAAGAGTGTGCACAGAAGGCCATGAGAATGCCACGTAGGCAGGCAGATTGAACTGCCTGCCAAAATGTGTTTCTAGAAGCACAATTTTAAAAGAGCTGATAGAAGTGCTCCCCAACTCCTGCAGAAGGGGGAGTGCACATTCTTTGGAGGTCCTGGCCAATTCTTGTGGTCGGATCTGGTGGGATAGCCTATCTTTTCAGCTGCAAACAAACCAGCCCCATGATAACTCTGAGTTAGCATAGTTACGCCTCTGGGCAGGGCTAGGCTGTATCTTGCGGTATGTGGTCGGGAAGAATAAAGGTGGTTGTGAAGCAACAAGAGAAGCAGACAGACTGGCCTAAATGCCAGTCAAGAACTGAAAGCCAGTGCAAGGAAGCAGGAAAGGAGAGTTGAGTTTGCAGCCTAGGTTGGGGGCCTTGGACTTTGAAAAGATATCATTATGCCTAATGAGCAGAGGGAGTCTGTTGCATTGTTTGAAGTAGGAATGAGAGTCAAGAGTTTGCATCTAGATTGATTGCATGCCCGGGATTTTGAGAAGAGATCTCTTTATGAATAGAATGGAAGGGGACTCTGTCCCATTTTGTCTTGTTGGAAGAGGTGGAATATGACTTTTTTACTTTTAAAAAATACATATCTGTAATATATACAGTATAACTGTATATGTGATATTCTATGTGTTTATTACATACATTAATGTTACCTATTTTCTTCATTAATAGGATTAGCAGACATGTTGGAAACCACTATCAAACAGAAAACTGCAAACGTGTCTCCTGAGATTGGCACAAATTTACACAAGTGCTCTTCAGGAGACGAAGACCTTTAGAACGTAGATCAGATAATGACTGTAGAGGTTGGTTTTCCTTTTTTCTTCTATGAAACTTTGGAATGGCAAGTTATGATTCGCCCTTGCCATGCCAGTAGAGGTTTCATGAGTTGCTATAGCTAACCTTCAACCCAAAGGGCTGGGCCCTCACCGAATCACAATGACATGACCCATCCATGTAGAATTTTTATTTTATGATGAAAAAGGAGAGCTAACACCTAAACGTTCTTGTGTTATGACAATTTAAACATTTCTTATAAGGTATACTTAGCATCCATACAAAGAATCTTTGACTCTTCAATCACACCCCAGTCTAATTGCAAGTCTTACCAGTTCTCTCTCCAAGGAGAAAGGGATTTATCCCTTTTTTCCCACTACTGTGGCCAGCACTTCTAGGCCCTAATTGCTTCTAGCCCTTAACTGTTAAAATAGCTTCCTAATTGGCCTCCTCTCCACAATCCTTCCCTTCACACAGATCTAACCCATAGTAATTAGTATGCCTCTTGGGCATCTTTAGTTGGCTTCCTCTTCCTTTAGGATTAAACACAAACTCCCAAAACCCACTTTCTTTCATATTGCTCTCCTTCATGTACTCTGTATTCCAACCAAACTAGCCATAACTTAAAGTTATGGATGTCTATATATTATATTTACATGTAATGCAACATATATATCCATATTTTTAACATGGATGGGCATAGATTTACATCATCTTACTAAATATTATCATTGGCCAGGAAAACGCAAGACTACAAAACAATAATTTGGGTAGACCTTTCATTCCTAAAGAAGAATTAGTCCCTAGACTAGTGAGCAGAGGCATAGTCTTTGTTTCATAATTATCTTTATTCTGTCATTTATTACAGCACAGAGATTGATGCCTACTATTCCTAACACAACAGAACAGCTATATGGCCAGAGCATTATATGCGCCGTGCCCCGAATGAAATCGTTAAAACCCTAAAGAAGATCTCTGAAATTAGATGTGGTGAAATAACAAACATTCCACTTCGAGAAGTCGATGTAGACCCCAAAATATTAACACCCAATATTTCACCTTTGAAAAAAACCTGTACATCAAAGGAAAATGTATCAATGTCACATCTCAGCAGAATTAAAAAAACACCAGCACTAGATCAAAAAGTCACATACGTGGAAGAAACATTTGAAACTGGATATGTAAAGAAGGCCACATCAAAAATATCTAGGAAATGTGTAAGTATGGCAGAACATCGTCCAGTAATAACATCAGCTACAGCTACACCTGTAACATCAAATGCGCAGGCCAACACTTTTAACGTCAAAGGAACTACCTCTTTAAAAATAAAATCAAATAAAGAGCCATCTGTCACTGATCAGCCAAGAATTTCCTCACCAAATGAAGAGCACTCTCGGACGGGAGCCAACAAAATAAGTCTAAAGCCAGGTGGTGTGTCTGTAGATGTGCAGGCTGCCCCAGGAACTGTAACACCAAATTACATCAATGAACCAGGAGGCATGAAGAAAGTCATAAGAACCCCAGAGGGAAAAACAAAAACAGAAGACCTAACTGGCCTCAGAGTGCCTATGGCAACTCCAACATCAATGGGCAGAACTGAAAGTAGACAAAGAAAACAAAGTGGCAGAGTCTGCTGTGGATGATGCAAATTCTGTTCAGGAAAATCTTGGGACAACCCCAAAGGAAACTGAAATCCAAAAGAAGCTGATGAGGACAGCAGAGCAGCAAACTGAGGCAGAGGATCTCCCCAAGCAGCTCATGAAGACTCCTAAACTAAAATGTGGCTCCGTGGAGCATCTGACAACAGTGGTCAAGAGACCGATGAGAACTCCTAAGGACAAATTGGAAGTAGGGGAGGAGGAGGTGGGTGGCAATGAAAGATCAATGATGAGTTCGCCTAAGGAAAAAAGCAACCAAAATATGAACATTAGGCCACCTCTTAGGCAGAAAGGGCCATCTGAAGATCTGGTAGGCCTCAAATATAACAGAAATCAACCTGCGCATATTCAAAAGAAAAACACAGAAGAGCAGGCATGCCTCAAAGAGCTTAGGATGACTATTCCAAAGCAAATCCAAAACTGAAGCATAAACAAGTCCCTCCTAATAAAACAAGTACAGAAATATGGATCAGTAGAAGATCTGACCACCACCAGGAGACTGATAAGAATGCCTGAGGAAAAGTGAGAACATTTAATAGAAGATGGAAAGTTGTCAAGAAGTCTGGTAAAACATCACAGAAAAAATGTGATCCAGAATACTCAATGAATGAAAGACCCAAAATACAACTAATACAAAACACACCAAGCAGCCTAGGGAAACTTAGAAGAGAACCCAAAAAAGAAGAAGACCTTCGAGGTCATAGGAATATGACAGTTCATAAGGAAAAGGCAAAACCAGGAGAAAACTTAAAAGGGTTTTAGGAGAGTTTTGAAAATGTCAAAAGTAAAACCAGAAGATCTAAAGAGATTCAAACTGATGGAGAGGGCTAGACCTAAAACTGATCCTGATGAAAGAACAAAAGTTAGTGGTTCTGTTGGTGAAATAACATCTCACACACAACGAAATGAAAAGAAGCCACCAAAGGTCTTAAAAGAACTAAAATTGAAAAAAAGAATGGAGAATACAGGAATGATGGTGTTTTGTTCCAGGAATACAAAGGAAATATTTCCTAGTCAATCATATAAGATATTCCTAAATAGTGAAAAGGAACCTTTTAAGAATTTTCCAGGGATATTAAAGGGTCACAAGGCAGTACTGCACCCTAGAAACAGAAATAAACCTGTGCAGGAAGTGAATTTGAATTGGAGTGAAATCAATGAGTTACACGCAGAAAATGAACAAAAAAGTATCAAAAATTTGCAGGGGAAGACCACTGTGACTGAAGATGGACTGGCTTCAAGAAAGAGAAGCAAGTAAAGTTTCAAAAAGAACATATGCATACAGAGGAAGGAATAGATACCACCTAAGAGTTTCACAGTTCGTGAAAAGATGGAATCTTTAACATCTAGCACAACATAATTAAGTCTGCTAAGAAATCGCAAGAACTCAATTTAGGTTGACCAACTGAACTATGTAAGACAGAGAAAGAGGGGAAGAAACTTAAAGATGCAAGTCCCAATATAGGGATGATGACTTCAAAAACTAGAGGCAAAAACTAGAGGAAAAAAAGAAACTGCAGAAGAGCTTCCCAGAGAAATTTTTGCCATCAAGATCACATAAAAAGGAAGAGAGTATATGTATGGAGTGTCTAGGGAAGAGTCTCCTGGAGAAGAAAGCCAAGGAGAGTCCGTGTCACAGGTCTTCACCATCTAGAAGTAGGGGCATTAGATTACTCCATGCTGCCAGGGTGGCACCCGAAACAAAGCTAAAAGAGCCAAAGAAGCCTGTGAAAGTCCATTAAATTGGATTGAAGTCTAGTGGTAAAAATAAAAAGATACAGGACTGAAAGGATCTAATCCTGTATCAACATCCAGGAACATAAATAACAATGACAAATGCACAGTTATTTGCCTGGATATCTTTAAAAATTCGTTGGTACCTGAAGGAATTTTATGTTTAACTAGAAACAGAAACAAACAACCTCAAGAAATTCATCAGATACCTAGTCTAAAAAAGATTGTTGAAAAGCAGCTTCCAAGCCTGGAAAATAAAGCCCAGGATAGAGTGCAAGAATCCTTTAGAATTGGAAGCCAAAATGAAACTGACAAAGAGCTCTATAGTACTCCTTTGCTGAGGGCCATGGAGATAGCTTGTGCTGAGAACAAAAATAGAGGTATGACTGAAGACCTGTTACATTTAAGGTCTACCTTGAGAAGCAGACACACTACAGAATGGATAGGATTTAATCCATTGTCAAAGGATATCTTACCTTAGGGTAAGATTGGAAAAGCAACTGTCTCCTGATTTTTCCTGACAAAGAGAAAGCAGATCTGTAAAGATCTGCTAATCTTAGCAAAGATGACCCCTCCACCACAGCAGGAGAATCAACCCCAGAAAAAGTCTCAAATTGGAAGAAAACTTTTTACAATACTCTTTTGAGAAAGAGAATAAAATCAGAGACACCTAGTAGCAAACTGTCAGAGCCAATTGATGTTGAAAAGTATAGCCCAGAGAGATGTCTTCTAAAATCTGTCCCACGGGTCAGTGACAATCTAAAAGAAACCCAGTCAGAGCCTTCTTTGTTTACAGAAACCAGCAGCAGTGCTGTGTTAGAAGATAACAAAAACCAGACTCAAGAAAAAGTCGCTGAGGAACCCATAAAATTAAGTAATGACCAGGAGTTTTCAAACTCATGGAAAACAGAAAAACACAACTTAAGCAGACCAGACCACCTCCCATGGCCAAAGTAAGAGTAAAATCAGTATTTGAATTTATCATATGTAAAAGATTCAATTTCTGAAGTACAATTAGAGAAGGATAAACAAGCTTGCTGAACAAGATTGTATATCTATTCAGTTGTGAGGTTAAAGTTAGGAACCTCTTTTGCTTAAGGCAGTTTTGGTGAGAGAGCCTCCTCCCCAATGTAACCACCTCAGAGGTCTTTGCCACCCCTTTTGTACTGGCCACTCCTTTATGGGAAAATTTTTCTATCTCAACATCCTGTTTCTCAGCAGGGAATTATTCCCTTGCTTGGGAGACAAGTTCTATGGCCACTATACAGGTAAAGACCCTTCCCAGGGGAGGGATGGTAAATGTCTCTGCTGGTCTCTTGACTTGCACCACCTGTAATGATGCCTGCAGTGAGTGATGTGTCCCCAGAGCTTTACCTCTGCCAGCTGTACCACCTATTCTGAGGGAACACTCCCTACTTGCACCTATGACCAAATTCCTCCTGCCACTCTCCTGGTAGGTATTTCCTATTTAACCTTCTCTTCCTAGTTGACACACAATATTACTGCCCCCTACTAGCTGTAACACTCTTATTGATTTTTGAAAGTTTCTCTCTTACCTATATAATAGTAGCATGTAATCATACTGATCCATGGGGGCATCCATGCTCAGTACCTTTTACAAACAGGTCCCATCTGTTCCCCTAAGGGATACTCCTTGCTTTGTGGGATGGGTGGGCCAGCTGGTGAGGATTCTGGGGAATAAGTAAAGCAAAATGCCACTACTTGGCAGGACCCCAGGACTGTTGTTCTAGCCACCCAATGTTAAACAACTTATAAGGATTTTGGTGTGTGCTCCCTTGGATTTTTGGCACCACCTCTGACCATTTTCAATATTCTACCCCCGGTACCTCCACTCTAACAAGAGTGAAGCATGGGTTCTGGGACAATGTTCTCTGGGACCTTAAAAGGGAGCAGAGTGTCTCATGCCTTGGTATGGACATTTACAACATCAGTTCATTCTTTCAAACCTGACAGGGACCATGCACCAATTGGCAAATGACACAGCTTATGGCCTCTGGGATATTCAGCAACCTCTGTATTCCCTGGCAAATGTGGTCCTGGATAATCAGATAGCTTTGGATTATCTACTTGCTTAGTGGAGGTATCTGTGCCCTGGCCAACACCTCCTGCTGTATGTATATTAACAACTCTCAATAGCTGGAGCTCAATAGGACTAGAGAAAGTCACCTGGATGTGAGACATCCACAACAACCCTTAGTACACCAGTACATCCTCTCCTTGGGGATCCTGGTTTCTCTCTATGTTAACCCCTATTCTTGTCTCACTCCTGATGATATTCCTTTTCCTTCTTTTTGGCATTGTCTGCTTAATCTCCTTGCCAGATTTGTCTCCTCTAGGCTCAGTGCCCTCCACTTCTGGTGACTGCTCAAGCTGAGTACCAACCTCTGTCCCAGACCACAACCTATCAGCCCTTGGACCTGGCATCGGCCAAGTTCCAGACACTGACTAGAGAACCAACTCCTTGACCAGAGGGACCCCAGCAGACAGGGACAGCTCTAAGCCCAAACCCGGCAGGAAGCAATTTCAGAAGCTGAGACCATCATCCCTAACCCAAAAGATTTTGTTCAAGGGGGAATGTTGGGGTGCTTGGGTGCTTATACTTAGGCGCTTATGTTTGGGTGCTTGTACTTGGACCCCAACTTCTCCCTAGCCTCAGAAACACTGTCCCTTGATAATCATGTGGGATCAATTGGGCCCCAAGGAGGGCCAAAAACCTAAATTAATCTTTTGCTCTCTGAGTGAACTAAACACACCCCTTCCTGTGTCAGCAAATTTCAGGACCAGATGGAGCTGATCAGTATTCTTCCTGTTTGTTATCACTGGGCCCAGGATGTCTGGGACCAGATACTCTCTTGAATAATGGGATTTTTCTTATCTTGAGTTTCAATTGAGAACTGACCACTCCTTAACCACTCCCTAATCCCACCCTGAATCACCTAGTTAGCATATTTGACACATGTTTTATTGCATTTTTTCCTAGATAAACTTTACCTGTACCTCTCTAAGGTTGCAGGATCCTTTAAGAATCCTTGCCCTCTGAAAAGTACAATAAACTTTGCCACCTTGGCTCACAGAATACATGAGTCTGTGAATTCATTCCAGACCACCAGTCCTGTACTCTGGTCTTTGAGGGGTCACAACCTCTCAACCTCTTAGCCCACAACACTCATGTCTAGGGTTTCCCCAAAGAAGGTTCTATGAGTAAAGATACTCAATGTGAAAAGTAGTTATCAAGTTACAAGACAGATTTTGCTTTCCTCCACCTCAAAGGAAATGCTTAAAATCAACAAGATTCAAAATTAAGCATTGACAGAGAATTAAAATATGAAACAATGACCTAGCAACTAATGTATGTTTGGTCATAAACTTCTACCTTCTCCACAGATCTGACAAGTAAACCATTCCTTACTCTCCTCATTTGTTTATATATTCAACCTTGATGTCTAAATAGCATATTCATTTTGACCTTATTTTGGCACACGGTGTAAAATGTTGGTCTATGCCTCCTTTCTGCTGTACTATTTTCCAGTTTTCCCAACACTTTTTGCCAAATATGGAGTTGTTGTCCCAGAAGCTGGAGTTTGGGGGTTTATCAAAAAGAAGATTACCATGTTATTGATTACTGTGTCTTATGTACCTAACCTATTGCACTGATCCACCACTCTATTTCTGAGGCAATGTCAAGGAGTTTTCATGATTGCTGCTTTACAAAACAGTTTTAGATCTAGTATTGCGAGGCCACCTTCCCTTGCATTTCTTTTCATTAATGGCCTTGATATTTTGTTCTTCTGGGTGAATTTTGTTATTATTTTTTCTAGCTCTCTAAAATAATTGTGGTAGTCGGTTTGGTATGGCAATGAATAAGTAAATTAATTTAGGCAAGATTTTCATTTTTATTCTATTAGTTCGGCCTACCCATGAGCAATTGGTATTTTTCAAATTATTTAATTCTGAATTCTTTGTGAGAAAAGTGTATTGTAATTGTGTTCACATAATTCCTGGGTTTATCTTTGCAGGTAGACTCCCAAATATTTTATATTGTCTACAGTTACATTAAAAATCTAATTTTTCTATCTCTTCTTGCAAGGCTTTCTTAGCAATATAAAGAAACGCTGATGATTTATGTGGGTTTATTTTATGAGCTGCATATATAGTGTTGTAATTCAATATTTAATATAGATTAACAGAAATATTAAAACATTTATTTTCTTCTCAAAACTAGGATTTTTAACAGAAACTGATCATAGTTTAGGGCATACCGAATTTCCAGGTAAATACAAAAAAGTAAAATTCATAAAGGCTTACTTTATAAACAAAACATGATAAAATAAGAAATATGAAGGGGACCACAATTGTTTTGTTTTGCTTTATTTACACAGATGCTGGAGAGGTTTGCCGTTTCCTTCTCCAGCTCATTTTACAAGTGAGAAAACTGAGACAAACAGGGTTAAGTGAGTTGCCCAGGGTCACACAGCTAGGAAGTATCTGAGGCCAGATATGAACTCAGGAAAATGAATCTTCCTGACACCAGGCACAGAACTCTGTCCACTGTATCACCCGGCAGCTCTCCTGTGTTGTTCAATTGTTTCCCTAAGCTATTTTATGATAATGATAACAAGAATGATAATAGTGAAGAGAATTAACGAAAATTGTGAAGTATGACAGTGATTTTTCACCTGACATCTCATTCATCTTTATAGCAAATTATATAACAAAGAAGAAAGTGCTTGTATTTTCATTCTAATTTTCTTGATGAGGAAATCATGATGCAAATTAAAATCTGCAGCATTCTCATGAGCTACCACTCTAAAAAGGAAATAGGGTTAGTGGAAGCAATCCTGCTGTACTGTATCATTCAATTAGTTCCCAAGGGCACTTCATCATAATGATAATAATGAAAATATTTGACCTGCAAAAGCGATTTTTCACCTACTATCTCCTTTGCCTTCATAACAATCCTATAACAAAAGAAGGGTGAGTATTTTTATCACAGTTTTCTAGATGAGGAAAGCATGATGCAAATTAACTGACTTGACTAAGGCAGAGAAGGTAACTAGTTAAACACAGCCAAGACTATAATCTAAATCTCAGAGCTTCTTCCACTAGCCAACCCACCTTCTACCTCTTTGATTGTGCCTTCTACCATGATGTTATTGTTTCCAAATGTGCCTGAGAAATAGAATACCTAGAGATGGTTTTCAACTGCCTTCTCCCAGAAGATTACATTAATTCCTTTCATGACACAGAAGAAATTCTAGGGGCTGAAATTATGGTAAGGAACATATGAGGATCAATAGCCATATATGTGAGTTCCTCAGTTGGAAAAGGTAGACTAACCCAAGGGTCACTGGGCATTTGCTCAATTTCCTACAAAACTAACTCACTAGAAATTGGATAGAGAAAGGAAAAACATAGGAAAAACATTCCACCTCATGATGTCATGGGAGTGGAAATAAAAAAGGGCAATGGATATTTGTGAAAGGTGTTACACAGGCAGAACTGAAAAGACTTGTAAATTGCCTGGAAATCCACAAGTTCCCCACCATGCAAGGAAACAGCTTCTATCAAGATGGGGCATGTCATCTCCACCAAATGCCAACCAACTGACACCTCCAAGGCAAGCAAG